CACATACATTTTTAAGAAAATAAAAAAAAGTTTTAATATTTTATAACCTTTGTTAGTACCCTGTTATAGAATAATAAAATCACAGTACCTAGGCATAAAAATAAGATCTGTGTTAGAACACTATGTACAACGCTTACATTCAATGTAAAAAATCTGTTTTAAAAAATACTTTATTGGACAGTATTAAAAATGTTTTACTGTAGATTTATTATTTACCAACATACAATAATAATTCTATACCTGCTGTAGCATCGTTTTTATTTTTATCACATCGCATTCTTGAAAAGACTTTTTTATAGCTTTCAGTTTCACATGTAGTATATTGACAGGCATGATGTCTTTATTTATACTGTGTGTAATTCTATACTAGACACGCACTACACTAACACATCCTAGGTAAAGTGCTAAAGAGCTAAGTTAGATTTTCCTTTGGTAATAAAAAATAAATGTAATCATATTCAAAAAGTATACAATATTTTTTTTAATTTTATTGTAACATAGCACACTAAAAAATAAATTATATAAAAAAGAAATAAATATTCTTTAAAACGTCTACAAATCGAAAAAAAAATGTATAAATAAAAAATAATTCTATTTTTTTTGTGAAAATATGCTGTAGAACATAAAAAAACTCTTTTAAACTAATTTGACAACAAATGAACGTAAACAATAAGGAATATCATGCCAGGAAATATGATTTCACAAATATAAAAAAATATAATTCACACTAAATTATTATAGCTTCCAGTTTTGATCCTGTCAATCCTGTGATTCCCATGACAAATTTTTACTAAATCGATTATAATCATAAATTATGCCCAATAGAAAATATTATCTAAATATTGTACTATAAGATAGGAGATTGATTACTTGATTATAACATTAAATAAAACGACTAAAAATAGGCCAAATACTATTTCTATATTCATTATTAAGTCGGACGTTTACATTTTGAAACACTCGTTTTGTCCGTTTTGTTTGACTTACCTCTTGACAAATTTAAATTCTTGTGAATTTCTTCTACTTGTTAGTTGACACATCAGACGCATAGATAAATAGTTGTACACGATCTGGCGCTGCTATAGCGGTTGCTAAGAACAACCGCAAACAAAAACAGAAATAATTTTCTCTTGTCCATATCTCTTGTCAAAGTCAGAATCTTCAAAAATTATAAAATCTTTCAAAATCTAAACCGCTCTCATTGAAAAAATTCCGAAAAGCGTTTAAAGCGTCCATTTTCAAAGTAATTATTGCTATCTTGTGAGTTTAATTTAAGTTTTATTTACTCAAACCCGTGATAATTATGAAAATGTTGCATTAAAAATTTAAAAAGCTGTGTTGTGAACTGTGAATTGCAAAAACCATCGTGGATCGTGGCATAACGTCGGTTTTCAATGTTTCATAGGTATTTCATACATGTCCTTATATAAAATAAAGTTTCTTGTATGCAACACACTGTATTTTATTTTATAATATTAAAAGAAAATAATAATAAATTTGAATAAAAAATATTTGGTGATATAATCCCGGAAAAAGCCGAACAGCTTCGAAACTTTCAAAAGCTTTGGGACGCGAAGAATGGCGCCAAATAGTGTTTACATTGGCCTTAAACTTGTTTCATTTATCTATGGTTAGACGTTTATGCAGAACCTGCTTTATTTTTCTAAAATATTTTCAGCGTTACAATGTCGCCGCATCATTTGAAAAGTGGTAGCATCATCGTTATTTTAAATGGGACACCTTGTATATTATTACATTTTTGGAAACTACTTTCACATTTCATAATTTTTCTATTATATTAACCTATACCTATGTCTAACATTTTTTGACATAATAAATAAAACATAATATGTAAAATTGACAAAAACATGATCTTGAATAATCATTGGTAAAATAATGAATTGAACATTTTAAAAGGTGAAATTTGGGTTATAAATTAACGAAAGTCTATATATTCAATCTGTCTAAATAAACTAGTTGGATGTTACACAGGGACAGCTAAAAAATTAGTTATTTCCGTTTGTTATAAAATTGCTGTGCGTGAAATCGTTATTTTAAATTCAACACATTCCTAAATGTATATTATTTAAAAAATCAAAAGACTAATAAAATAAAACTATGTGGCGCATTCATCTCTCCAAAAAAATCCTATATGGGTATTTCGCCACTGCAAGAAAATCTACAAAATAAAATAGTTATTTATTGTAAACACTGCTGCGTTAATCCAATGGAAACTACTTGTCAGCAGTTAGGTTTACAGATAAACAAATTTGCCTAACGAACAAAAAAAATGTTTTTTAAGCATTAACCTCTAAACCAAATTTCAGTTTTCAATCTGCCGTATTTATGATTTAACCAATGCATATTCAAGATTGTGTTTTTGTCAATTTTACACATGTTTTATTTTTTATCTCGAAAACTATTAGAGATTGGTATAGGTTAGTGCAATAGAAAAATTATCACATATGAAAGTAATTTTGAAAAATGTAATAATATACCATGTGTGACAAATGGAGCAAGCTCCTTTATGAAAAAATCCAAATTTTTACTGGTTCTCCATAAACGTCTAACGTGCCATCGCCCGCATCGCCGTGAATCACCCTATACAATAATCCAGCTTATTATTGAATATACTCTACTTGACAGTTTAATACGTTAAAAAAATATTAAACGCCACTGATCAACTGGATATCAAGTTAACCATATTGAAACCCATTTACGGTCTTACCAAGTTTCTTGTATAATCTGATAACTAAGGTGTCCTTATTTTTTAGTCGTTTTACTCAATGATTTGTAGTAACCAGGAAATAAAAATTAATAAATTTATTATTAATTATTATGTATCCACAATAGTATTAAATATCAGTTAGGAAAAGAAGAAAGTCTCTTGTTTACGAGGAGGAACTTAACTATATAATCACTAACATCACAACTTAAACACTAATGGAATTCCCTGTGCTGGACTAGACAACAACAATGACAACTTCAGTCAAATGTCCCAGTGTAACTTGACACTTAATTCGATAATTCTAATTTTTTTCTCTAATCCAAGTTCCACATTTTGAGGCTTATACTGAAATCGTTAATTTTTTTCTTATACTCACAAAGAAATATTTTTCTAGAGTTATACAGCTTCTTAGCCCACTGCCATACAAATAGCGTATGAATCGATTAAAGCGATATTTTTTTAAAAGAAGCGCTACTCGCTACACACTTTTGGTCAGCGATGGCTATGAAATGAAGATCGCTGCCATTTTATCCGTAAAATTACATAGGGAATGTCATCGATCGTCATTTCCAAGCCATCTGGATGCTGTTTTTTTTTACCTGCTTTGATAATAATAAAAAAACATATTTTATTAATACAGGTGTATACTTGCAATTTTGTATTCATATTTTAATCAAAATTTAATGAATATATTCTGTTATTCACTTCTTGTTCGACTAGTAGAGATAATATTAAAATAATCCACATTGACAAGGGGATAAATGGACACATCGTCCCCATATCGACGTACGCGACAGAATTAATAATTTGTATCCCACTTCAGTCCGTATTTTCTCTATAGATATCTGACATTAATACTGATTTATATTACCATTGCCACATATTTTCCATTAAACCATAAATATGGTTGATAAACGTTGAAAATTGAAGTATATACTGATATATGGTATTATAATAATGGTGAGATGAGATTATTAATATTAATTTTATATCCTTAGTCATATTTACAGTGTATATTTCAAATGCAAGTCACCTTGTATTAATTGTTTTAAAATACAGTATTGAGTGTAAGTGACTCCTCAAGGTATTATTTGAGAGGACCAGGCAAACATAAGGGAAATATACTCAAGGTGGTTTGCCATATAGGGTGATGAAACGATTATTTTTCTATAAAAGCGTTTGCTCCATCTGTCTAAATTATTTTTCGCAATACAGTGTTGCCGCTTTATACTAAAAGTGGTAGCATCTTCGTTATTTTAAATGGGACACCTAGTATATTATTACATTTTTCGAAATTACTTTCATTATCTGATAATTTTTCTGTTATACTAACCTATACCAATCTCTAATAGTTTTCGATATAAAAAATAAAACATGTGTAAAATTGATAAAAACATGATCTTGAATAAGCATTGGTTAAATCATAAATTCGGCATATTGAAACCTGAAATTAGGTTTAGAAGTTAAGGAAAGTTGACATATTCGATCTGTCTAAATCAATCGATTGAAAATGGGTTATTAGTTTTAAACCATTGTTATTTTAAATTCAAGCGTATGTATATTATTAAAAAATCGAAACACAAATAAAATTGCTTTTCAACAATATATCATGTTCCTATAATATACCCGAATCTTCTAGTTTCTTCAGTAAAGCCATTTAAAAAATAATAGTTGTTTCGTTTAAAGAAAATCGTTACCAAGACAAATTAATATTCAAACTTTATAAGTATCAATTAGTGTTTACTTGCTAAATTTTTAAAATTGCCATGGTAACGAAATGAGACTATAATGATAAAATTATTTTTTAAATAGCTCTACTTAAAAAACGGAAACTGGAAAAGCTATTTTATTAGTCTTTTGATCTTTTAAATAATATACGTAGGGTTGAATTTAAAATAACGAAAATTTCAGCAATTTTATAACAAACGGAAATATATACTTTTTTGGCTCTCCCTGTATAATATCCAATGAGTTATCCAAGTGAATTAAACAGATCGAATATATAGATTTTCGTTAACTTATAACCCAAATAATGTCACCTTTTCAAGTGTCAAATTCATGATTTTACCAATACTTAATCAATATCATCTTTTTGTCAAATGCAATTTTACATATATTATATTAATTATCTCAAAAAATGTTAGAGATAGGTATAGGTTAGAATAATAGAAAAATTATGAGATATGAAAGTAGTTTCCAAAAATATAATAATATATCGGGTGTTCCATTTAAAATAAGAAAGATACTACCACTTTTCAAATGATGCGGCAAAATTGTAACCCTGAAAATATTTTAGATAGATGAAGCAGGTGCCTTTATGTAAAAATCCAAATTTTCAAAAAAATTCTATCACCGGTTCTCCAGAAATGTCAACGTGCCATAGCTTTGAATCATCCTATATATTTCCTTAAGAATTTTGCATCCCTGTATTCTCGAGACAGATATTCTTACCGCTGAGCTATAACCGGACACTTAAAGAGTCGCAAAGTATGTTAAACTTTCCTTTGACAAACCTTACAAATTAAAAAAGTTGCTTTCACAGTATTCGCCCCATTATTGTGCATTGTGTGGACACTGGGATTAGAAAAACATTAGTTGTAACTCGCTTAGTAATATTTTTGTACGACCAATATTATGAATGTTCAGCCTCAAATTTCAGATGACTAAAATTAAGTGGGCAATTCATCAAAATTTAACGGATCATCTTCAAAACTTCGTGGTTCAAATTGGTGTAAACCCGCACCCAGGGCTGGAGGGTTGTTAGCCCTGGAACTGCCCTGGGTAAATAGGAACTCCTGACCCTCCCTGCTGTGGTAGTAGGAAACCAGTTTGAAGTCCTGCCCCACGTGATCCTGAAATTAAATAATATATTTAAAAAAAAGTAAGTTAGAATTTTTTTTGTTTAAATAAAGAGTCATTTAAATGATTTTTATAAATTTAGATTAACTGATAGTGTTTAACATTTACTATTAGTGATGGGCAAAACCGATTAATTTCAATAATCGAGTACTCGAGTTTCAAGCGAATGCAATATCCGAGTGATCGCTGGAGCGAAATATCACTCGTATTTAAAAATACGGTTTTTAACTCGTTAACGCCAAGCGCCAAGCAGTAAGTTGCGTGCGCAGTGATGAATGGCAAGTAATAAGCGGCGAGCGATTCGCTTGATTTAGTTTATTTCAAAGCATTGTCGATGTAGGTCGTAAAATTTTGTCCCTCAGATACGCAACGGATAAATATATATACGGCGTCGTATAAATTTGCTACCTGAAATGTATGTATGTAGAAAATTCGCTGGGCATTTTATCGAGTATGTCACATTAAAATCGGATTTTAATTTATTTCATTCTAGGATCGCTTGCGTTTGCCGCTTGGTACTCGTCACTTGCATCGCTCGTTCATAATCGAGCGATGTCGCTTATTTCAATAATCGAGTACTTGAGCGAATTTTCGCTCGAGTTATCCCATCACTATTTACAATCACTGACTTTTGCCAGCGACTTCGTTCGCGTTCCCATTGTTCAATATGCTGTAAATTAATATTCCACGATTCTAGTCGAATATGTAACGAATTTCAGTCCAATTATCGTCCCCCTTTTTGCACCCTAAAGGGATGGAAGTTTCGAATGCTCAATAAAGCCGTAAACTATATTTCATGTTTCTGGATTTCAGTGGTAACAAATTTTGATATATTTTTCACCCCAATTTTATCACCTAAAGGGTGATGATTTAGTTCATTTGTTGATGTCTCAATGTTCAATTACGTTACACGAGGAATATTTATGCAACATGGGTGCATCTCAAAAGTGACTCACCCCTATAACTTTTTTATTTTTTCAGATAAAACAACGAGATTTGATATGTTAGTACATATATGACATAAATTAGGATTGATTGACATATTCAATTGTTTTCGGTCATTTCCGGTTTCACCGGAAATGACTACAAATTTTGATTTTTAAATTGCAGTTAGTGTTTTTAACACAGCCATGGCACTCTAGATTGAAATTTAAAATGTAATTTGTTTTTGAGCGAATATGTCATTCGATTCAGAGTCTCATTTTCTATCGAATAAAGTAAAAAAAAATACCAAGAGTGTCATTTAAAAATCAAAAGTTGTAGTCATTTCCGGTGAAACAGGAAGTGATCGAAAACAATTGAATACACGTCAATCAATCCTAATTTATGTCATACTAACAAACCAAATCTCGTTTTTTTTATCTGAAGAAATAAAAAAGTTATAGGGGTGAACCACTTTTGAGACGCACCCGGTATACAGAATGTCTTTCTGGATTGTCTTAACAAGAGGAAAAACTTTTATATTATTGACATTTTCAGAAAAATCCATTTTTCATTAAAATTTTTGCGTGTTCTAAAATGGTTAATCTCGTTTATACTTTTCCAAATATGATTTCAATTTTTAAGAAGAATGCATTTTTCTCAAAATGCCAATAATAAAAAAGTTGTTCCTCTTGTAAAGACAATCCGGTGACATACTGTAAATAAATTTTGCATAAACGTTCCTATCATGTAACGTAATTGAACACTGAGACATCAACAAATGAACTGAGTCATCTCCATGATACAAAGAAAACAAGGTATGATATTGCGCAGGTTGCTTACTACGTCACAGGTGATAAACGGCACCATTGGTCGGCAAGCTCCGCGCGCCAATTTCAAATTTCAAACAGATGACACATAATAGTGAAAATAATTTTTCAAATATCAAGCTCGATGATTTGACATAACTTTTGGGGTTATGTCCTAATTCTTAGCTATTTTAGGTCTTTTTTTTACACTTGCCAAGTCAGTAGGCCATTGACCATGATATATATGGCCGAGGACCGCGGTTCGCATTCCGCGTAAACAAAGTATGCCCCGTCCAGATTAGCCCTGGCAGCAAAAAGGAGACGTTAACTGAAATCTTCACTTTTCAGGTCTTTTTTTATTAGTGGCAATTGAACAATATGGATATTTTTTTGTATGGCATATGACGTCACAGGTGATATGCACAAACTGAACGAAATTGGGGCCGCTATCGATCATACCTTGTTTTCTTTGTACCATGAGTCCCCTTAGATGATAATAAATCATCCCTTTAGATGATAAAATGGGGGTGAAAAATCTATCGAAAATATATTTAATATTGGTATTTCGAGAAAAATACATTCTTCATAAAAATTGGTGCTTGTTCTAAAATGGTCAATCTCGTTTATACCTTTCCAAATCTGCAGTCGTAGAGAAAAATTAAAAAACATGAAAATATGGTTAAATTTTTTCTGCCTGAAACGCCTTTTGATTTTTAGGACTTTGACTAAATAATTCAATGACTTGGAAAAGGTTAAACCTTGGTTGGAAAAGGTTAAACCCCAGCATTTTTTTAAGTTCATAGCCAACTATGATTTCCATTTAAAAAATTATATTTTTTATTATTACTGACAAAAAAAAAACAAGTATAGAAAAAAACTGACTACGCCACTGGATTGTGCATAAAAAAGTGCCTTAAGAACGTTTTTACAGAATTTTATTATTCCTCGAAATACAAAAGTTATGGGCAATTTTCCAAATGGTAAAAAATTCAAAAAGACCCGGTATCTCAGTTGGCAGTGAAAATATCAACAGGCGGTTTACGCCATTAAACGTGTCTCAGAAATTGAGCCCATGACATCTATGTCGGTTTTGCTCTATCTAGTCAGAAAATAGGTTTTCTCTGTTAAAACAGACCAATTTCGACCACCCTGTACGTGGCGCCCTCTACAATTAAGAGTCATATTGACATCAAAATCAAATTTCTCATGTCAAAAAACTCCCAGACACCAGTTTTCATCCAAATATTCATGTTATTTCATGAATTATTTAGAAAAAATCGAAATAAATATGAAACTTGTACACCCTGTATCTCCAAAATTAAGTATTTTAGGACATACATTTATACGCACTTTTTTACTTATTTTAATCTGCAGAATTTGCTGCCGAAGTTTCCGAAATACAGTTCGGATCACCCTATATAAATTAGATTTAAAAAAAAATAATGAATGACTTATGTGGAAAGTGCAGCCGAAAATCACTTACTTGGAGACTGTCCACGACTTCGAAGCAGGTCGGCCTGTCCCGCGGAGTCCATTCCCAGCATCTGTGCATGATTTCCCAGAGTAGATTCGGACATTCGGGCGGCCTTTCCAGTGTTCCTTCAGATATGACAAACTGGAGAACTTGCTCGTTTGCCAGACCTAAATTAAACGTATTTTAGTTAAATAACTATTTAACAGTTTTATTTTATATTATATTATAATTGTATGCTTCATCTAAAGCAATGTTCAAGAAAACTATGGTCAAACCACAGCCTATCCGTAACCAGCATGTCGACTTACAGTATTTTACATTAAAACCTATCTATTGTCTATTTGGATTAAATTTATACTGTTGATGTTAATATAAAAACACGTTTACCTCTCAACAGCGTTGTATTTTAATTTAATTTTTGGAAAATAATAACATTTCTCTCATTTATAATAGTATTTTAGGATGCGAATTACATAAAAATAAAAATACATATCTTCTAGAAATCTAATAATTGTACTACACAAAATATACATTATCATCATCATTGTACTACACAAAATATACATTATCATCATCATTCTCAGCTTATTCAACCGTTTCCAATTATGGTGTAGCCTCCCTCACATTTTTGGATACTCTCTTTGTAGTTAGGTTAGGTAGAAATGGTTGGTTTACACTACGTGCAATACGGTGCAATGGCAATTTTAGTAGCCCGAACGCATGCGCACCTCACACTTTTCGATCAGCTGATGCAATTTTCATTGCATTGCATGGAATTAGAACACGCGCTAATTTGATTGCACGTAGCATGCAATTTTTGCTTCTACCAGCCAAAAATATTATAATATAATATAAAATCAAATGTTATAATTAAAACAATATAGTTTCTGTTTTACCATCCATGTTATAGGTACAAATAATAATAAATTAAGATACAGACTCAAATTACAAAATCTAGAAACCTTTAATAAGACATACACAACGATACCTTGAAGATAAAATAAAAAAATAAATGAAACAGTTGTTATAGCCATTTTATTTAAGTTGGCACAAAAGATTCTCAAAATTATGTCATGTATTTTATTGCACCCAATGTAAACGGTAAATTGTAAACATAGTGTAAACACCGTTTAAAAAGAATATGCAGTAATTTACGGAATGCCATAATGACGTCACCAATCTCTTTTATCTGGTTAGCACGTAGATCATAATAAGTATATCACTATGGAAACTGTCGCAAACATCTACCCTTGTCGAGGACCCCTATCGTCCACGAGCCAAATTTGAACATGCTTATATTTGAACAATAAATTGAATGTTTACTGTCACAAAAATTAAATCATATAAAAATACATTTAGCCACTCCGTACGAATATCAATATTCTTAGAAAATCTAACCAGAAAGTATGCATGTGGCTTAATATAAATAAAAGAACAACTGAATACTTTACTTGCCTAGGAAAAGATAATTCGGGGACCTTTATATTAGAACTTTCACACACTAAACACTTTCTATTCATTTTTACGAGTATTTAGAAAGTCCAATGAAAAAAAAAATAGAAATATAATTACCATTAATTACACAAACTTAAAATTAACTTCTCACTGAACACATTTGCATCCTTGGCTATATAATATATAATTATATTGGCTATAAAATAAAAAACGCAAAAAACAAGCCTATGAAACAAGCGTCGCGTCGTTACATAATGGAAATAAGATTCAAAGATAAGATTCATAAGATTATGACATATGATTATGACAATATATTATGATGATGAAAAATTGAGTTCTATAACAATGTATAATTTGTATTTTCTAAACCGTATAAAATTGATTATTTAGATTTATTAGTGATTATTATGGAAATACGTGCAACTTTTAAGGCGCATGCGCAAAGTAAGTTCCTCGAGAAAGACAAACCTATTAAACGTTTCATAAGTGCAATAAAAAAGCTTTGAAAATGGCATGTCGTCATGTTGGAGACAAACATATTTTTTAATGCTAAACTTATGGCGTTGATTTATCCACTAAGATTAAGTATATACCGGGTGTTGCTTCGTCGTTGAGAACATAGGAAATCTCATGCAAAATTTGAACTGTCCAGATATTGGCTCCCATATGGATTTTATAGCGAAGTGTCGTAAATAGTCTTTTTAAAGGTCTACATTTGGTAAACACACATGCCAAATTTGAACAATTTTGGACAAGCCGATTTTAGATAATTTGAGAAAAACTTAATCGATTTTTATATTAAAACCGAACAGGTAACAATCAAACACCAGTCAAAAACTGACGTACCTTAGGTTTACAAACTATGATTTTGTCATTGTCAAAAGTAATTTCATTTTAATAAAATTTTAATATTTAGGAAAAATTAACCGAAACATGTCAGATACACTGTCTAATCTATTTTCCACGTATTTTATCATGTTAACTTTTTCTTTACGTGTATAACCTAAGTGCATAACAATAAATTATTAATAGTACTGAATATTAAAATTTTATTAAAATTAAGTTACGTTTGAAAATGACGCTGACAACTTAAGGAATGTCGGTTTTTGACTGGTGTTTGATTGTTACCTATTCAGTTTTAATTTAAAAATCGATTAAGTTTTTCTCAAATTACCTAAAATCGGCTTGTCCAAAATTGTTCAAATTTGGCATGTGTGTTTACCAAATGTAGACCTTTAAAAAGTCTATTTACGACTTCGCTATAAAATCCATAGGGGAGCCAATATCTGCACAGTTCAAATTTTGCATGGGATTTCCTATGTTCCCAACGACGATGCAATACCCGGTATGATATAGGGGTTGGCAAGTGATTGAGAGACTTCGAAAAAATATATGACGTGACGTTGAACGATTGGCTGAATGTCTATAAATTTTTTTTATTACCATGTAAAAATATCTTATAGTTTATAAAAAAAAAAATGATATCTTACTATCTGAGAAACACTACAAATATAAAACTTTTTTTAGAATAAACAATATTAAAAAAAGTTGTTTGTTAGTGAAGTAAAGTGAAACTAAGTGCAATTTTCTATGTCACCGATACAATTATAACAAATCGAATCAGTCAGCCAGTCACGGTGGGTTTCTATATCTGGAAACTACATGATTAACGACCGAAGCTCTTTTCTGTTATATTTCCAGAAATAGTTTAAAACCACGACCAAGCTTTTAGCGTTAGAAAATCCTTTTATAGGGATCCGGGGACATCAATTGATTTCTACCGGAATTACTTTAAAAGAGAACTGAAATACATTTTTGTTTGGTAGAAAATATTTTTAGAATAAGTAATATTTGAATAGATTTGTTTAGTTATGCGAGGGAAGATGTTGCTTCTTAAATCCCACTGCTCGCTGCAGTGGGTTAGGTACAGAAAAACAGTATACAGGGTGAATTTCGTATTGGAGAAAACTACTGGAGTTAGAGAGTCGGTTAAATGGGGAAATACGTAATTGCAGTTTTGTGTGGACGAACATAAAATATGCGTCTTTCAGTTTTTTGAAAAAGTTTTTAGTTTCGAAAAATACAAATTTCGGCTAACTTAAAAATACTTCCTAATTCCATTATAATCAATTTTAGACAAAAACTTTTCAGATAAAAGTAGCAGATAATCATATCCTTAATGAGATGGTGTTTCTCTGTTTTTTCCTAAGTCCTGTCATTTTGGACATATGACACAAACATTTGTAATTGTTTTTTTTAAATGGAAACCATAGTTGGCCATGGCATAAAAAGCGCAATTTTTTAAGCTTACTTCCGTGGATGCATAAAAGCCATATGATTAGCATTAAAAACGATGTCTCCAACATCACGACATGCATTTTCAAACCTTCTTTATTGCACTTATGAAACATTCAATAGGTTTGTCTTTTCCAAGAACCTCACTTTGCGCATGCGCGCTAAAAGTTGCACGTATTTCCAAAATAAACACAATTTTAGACGGTTTAGAAAGTACAAATTATACATTGTTATAGAAACCAACTTTAAGGCCGCCTCAGACACGCACGCTTTTCGTCCGTTTTGCTTGCACAGTCATAAGTTGCAATGCAACACTGACCGCTGGCAATCATTCATACACTCCGTCTTACACTCCGTCTTAACTTAGTACTTTAGGTATTTAGAGCATGGTACAAAGAATACAAGGTATGATATTGCGCAGGTTGGTCGCTACGTCACAGGTGATAACAGGCGCTATTGGTCAGCACGCTCCGCGCGCCAGTTCAAATCGTCAAGATATTGTTATAAACCTGTTTTTTTTTGTTTATATACCGTCATTGAACTATCGCTAAGCAAGCTACTGTGGAGCAGAGCGTAAAGAGTCTAGGAAGCGAGAGAGCGGAGTTCAATTCTCGGCCGGGACATAACTTTTTTATTTAATTTTTTAAATACTGTTGTATTCTATAGTTTATTTTTGTAATATAAAAAAAGAACTATTTATTCTGTTATTTTTTAATCTCCGGCATTAATATAAATTGATTGTTGGTACAATACCTCATTTAATATAAAATAATATTCTACTTTTTGAAATGTATCGGGCCCTAATTGTACCTAAAAGTAATATATTTTTAGTGATATACCATATTGTAAACTATTTAATATTTCACTTAAAAAGTTAATTTGCATTGTAATATAATGATAAAAAATGATAAAAATAATTGCCTACCATTAAAGGAAATTTGAGCTATATAATCCTTGATGGGCATATTCTGGGTATGCAAATACTTCCTCTAATTTTTTTTTAAATAAGACGTAATGCAAGACTGAAGACCAATCAGACTCAACGTTTTCTTCGCAAGCAAGTTGGAACGCGAACGAAAAATCAACCCGCGGTTAATTGCGTTCAAGCCAGTCAATTGACGGTACACGATAAACAAAACGGACGACTTGATGCTTCACACACACCGTCTTGCATAGCAACTTAAGACTGTGCAAGCAAAACGGACGAAAAGCATGCTTGTCTGAGGCGGCCTTTACATTGTCATCATATTGTCATAATCTTGTCATAATCAAAGGTTATAATCTTATTTCCATTGTGTAACGACGCTTGTTTTTGCGTTTTTTTTTTAATTTTAAAAATAGTATTATTACTCCTTTATCGATCGCTTTTATATAACCAACGATGCAAGTGTGTTCAGTGAGAAGTTAATTTTAAGTTTGTGCAATTATATTTCTATTTTTTTTCGTTGCACTTTCTAAATACTCGTAAAAATGACCAGAAAGTATTTACTGTGTGAAAGTTCTAATATACAGGTCCCCGAATTATCTTTTCATAGGCAAGTAAAGTATTCAGTTGTTTTTTCATTTATATTAAACCACATGCATACTTTCTGGTTAGATTTCCTAAGAATATTGATATTTCCAAAAAAATCCTGTATGGGTATTTCGCCACTGCACTGCAAGAAAATCTAGAAAATAAAGTAATTATTTTTTGTAAACATATCTGCGTTAAACCTAAACGGACGCTGCTTGTCAGAAGTTATGTTTACGGTAATACAAATTTGCCTAACAAAGCAAAAAAAAATGCTTAACGTTTCGGAAAGTTATCTCTTTCCGAAAATTGTTGTAATATTGATATTCGTACGGAGTGGCTAAATGTATATTTTATATAATTTAATTTATGTGACAGTAAACATTCAATTTATTGTTCAAATCTTGTTCAAATATAAGCATTTTACAAATTAAATTTTTAAAATTATTGTTCAAATTTGGCGCGCGGACGATAGGTCCTCGACAAGGATAGACAGAGTGGAAGCACCGCCTGTGCAACAAAGAAAGAAGATAAATGTAAGTCGTTGATATGTTTGCGACAGATTCAATAAGTGATTTACTTATCCACGTAAGTATACCTATATGATCTAGGGTTATAATATGTTTTTTTTTCGAAAAATTACTGAGTTATAGCCTCACATAAAATAAAAATTTAAATTTACCTTGATAAGGTTGTTCAGCAAGTGTGGCTATTTCCCACAAGACAATGCCATAACTCCATATGTCTGAATCCGAGGTAAATACACCGTCCGCTAAACTTTCAGGGGCCATCCATCTGACAGGTAGTAATCCTCTGGTCCCCTTTTTGTAGTAGTCGTTTTCGTAGATGTCTCTGGTCATTCCTGTTTGCAATATACAAATTCTTATCATGAAAAAATGTTTTGTATAGTCAATAACAATCAAAATGATGAAATTCTTTTAGTTGCAATAGCATTTTATGTTTACATCTGGCTTGACCTTTGAATAAGAAGACTAAGGAAGGAGCATATCAAAAATCTTAGGTACACCGCGATGGGCCTCAAATATGGCCGACTTAAATTCCGGTTTATCAGTGTCGTTCTAATTTTATTTAAAAAATGTAAAACTATGATGAGGGCTTGACATATTTTAGATACTTAGTTGTTATGTACCCTAGAAGTAAACCTTAGACAAGGAAAGAGAGGGGACGGCTAACACGCATATTCTCCCGTGATCGGTTAGTGAGGCCAAAATTCGATCGGCGGCCATACTTTGGTGACAAGATTTCGAGGTGACACCGAGAGAATTTTTCTGTTTTTTGTGACAACTGTTTTGTTTTAAATTTATAAACTGTATTGTTTAGTATGGTGAGATGTTCAGCGTATGGCTGCAAAGGCCGAAGCGAGAAAAAAGTGGCTGGTTTTATATTTCACAGGTAAAAATCGATACAGTACATCTGCTGGATCTGTGTCTATGAAAGGAATGCGGACAAAAAACATTTAAATAAACAGCAATATATTTTATACGTCGACTTGACGAGTACGTCACCGCAAATCGCTCCGCCCACTCATTTTATTGGCTACTTGCAAATTTGTCGAATTTTTATTGATGGGACGCGTCGTCTAATTTTTTACGAAAAACATCGAGAGAATATCGTTTCCCCTCTCACGGTTACCCCGTAGCTACAGAACGGGCAGACGTACTGTACACAACTTTTGTTATGTGGTCATAAAATGTACATTTTTTCATTATAGCAGTAAAAATATGTAAAATGCTTTTAATATGTTTTGTACCACATCCAAACCAAACTATTTTTAATAATTCCAAGTAATATTTTCAATATCCTTTATTATAATTAATGTTTGAAACTATAAATAATGCTACTCAGCATGGATTTCTCCAGTGGCGTAGGGAATTATAATCAGAGAAATACAATTTCTGCAATAAACTTTTTTTTATATATTTTACATGTAAAAAAATGTATAAAGTATTGTTATCAAATATGTAAAATAATTGTAAACTATAAAAAAAATTAAAAATTCTAGTGATAAAAAATCTATATGTATAGTTGTTATATAAAACTTAAATTTACCTGCCAAGATTTGCTCGGGGTGGACAAACTTGTGGTGGGCTTCTTGTTCCTACATATATTTTTATAAATATTCTTTCAAAAAATTTGCTAATTTAGGTGTATAATAATAGTCTCAGTGAGTAATTAATAAAAATTTAAAAATAAATAAAATAACACAAAGCTTCTAGAATTGTTTATTTTTTTGTGGAAAATTAGGATATTCTTATGATTGAACGTAACAAATATTAAAAATTACATTATTCATTGAATCCGTACGCAAGTATGAAGGGGAAAGGCTAGATTTATTATTATACCGTATGGTTGAAAAAAAACGACGTCCAGTTGGCTTGTAAATGACGATCGACGACATTCCCCATATAATTTTACATATAAAATGACAGCGATCTTCATTTCATAGCTATCGCTGACGCCGTCTTTTTTCGATGTCGTTTTGTATAGTTTTTATGTCATTTTATATGTAGAATTATATGGGGAATATCATCGATCGTAATTTACAAGCCAACTGGACGTCGTTTTTTTTTCGATTATACGGTATAATAACGAATCTAGTCAATTCCCTTCACACTTGCTTACGGATTCAATGAATAATGTCATTTTTAATATTCATTTGTGAAATTGTCATTTCCAAACAAACAAAACGCCGTTTTTTCGATCATACAGTATATATATGTATATACACGTTTAAAACATATGTTATTACATTATTTTTTATTTAATTATACATTAGACACACGTTAATAAATAAATAATTGTCTTGATAATCAGTCCACTGTGATTGTTAAATAAATTTTGCATTATCGACTTAGATATTCTAATATTATAAAGGTGAGACTATAAAATACAAAATTGTATATGCATTACTCAAAAATGAACGATATATTAGTTTACGTTTTAATAAATATTATATACCGTCTAGGTAGGTACAAGCTAATTTCTGATGCTACGCCATTGGAGAATTTCGGGTGGTGACAACTTGCCTCACTTTCAGCTGCCGTGTTACCTGTCCCCTCTCTTTCCTTGTCTAAGAAGCAAACTATGTTCAAAAGTCCAAAATTTGCATATTTGAGTCACTCCAAAACTCCAAAAAATCTATATAATTGGTATAATTTATTTAAAAAACTGTTTTACATTTCATTTAAGTTCAAAATAAGTTAGCCATATTATAAATATTACAATCATAGGTTTAAAAATAACCGAGTAATTAGGAAATAACATAAAAAAAGAACTTGAAATTCGGTTTTCGAAAAACCGTTGTTTTGTGACTTACTTCTGGGGTAGAGATATTACGGTTTGTCCAAATGGACAAACCGTAATATAATAATAGTAGTATAAATATACTATTTATAATTTGCATGTCTATTTATATTATACAGAATGTCCCCGGATTGTCATTACAAGAGAAAAAACTTTTTTATTATTGATATTTTGAGAAAATTACATTCTTCGTGAAAATTTTTGCTTGTTCTGAGATGGTCAATCCCGTTTATACTTTTCCAAATTTCCATACCGTAATAGAGAAAATTAACGAAAATATGGTTCCATTTAAAAAAAAAGTCCTAAAAATCAAAAGGCCTTTCTATGATAATATCATTTCGATTTCATTCTTTGATAGATTATTATTGATAGAATTTTAATTAACATCATATCGTCCCATTGCTGCCAAAAGTCACTCACTTACTTTTTATTACTTCCGAGAAAAACGCGTCTAAAGATGAATTGCATTGCATAAAAATGTTATAGTTAGTAACTATTCGGTATTAAAATACAACATAAATAGCCAGAAATCGTAGTTAATGGCTTTTTCAATCGATTCTCCGCTTCAAAATAGAGTTAGTGATTGAATTTTCAGGTTCGGAAAAATGTTAGTGACTTTTGGCAGCAATAGGACGATATTTTTGCTTGTTATAAAATGTTAAAGAAGCACAACATTTATTTAGTTCAATGCTACGGAAGGGATGAGTTATCGGAGAATGTGATACTTTAACAACAAAAAATATGACGTTAATCAAAATTAATAATAACCACCATCTATCAAAGAATGAAATCAAAATTATATTATTGTTACGTTTTTCGTCGGTTCCGTGTGGATAGAAAGTCACAATTTATTTAAACACAATTTATTTTACACTAAGTAACGAAACAATAACGATAAAACAACTTAAAGAACTATTTACAACTTATTTACTATTTATCTAAAAGGAATTTATTTTGAATTTAGCGCGGTAACTGTACACGTCGACCGATTGTTTCTGTCCTCCTCAGGCCCCAGGCGTCGCGTCGGCTTGTATACCCACAGCTAAACAGTTCTCGAATAGTCCATAGATCATTAGGTGCATAGAGAAGGTTTAGAATGTTCTCGTATGTACTCCTCCATTCCAGTGGAACTCGATTGTTCTCGAACGTTCGAATGACATTACGGTGTCTATTCTTTAATGCGATATTAAGGTCATATGGGGGCGGGTCATATTAGTTAGTTAGGTTAGGCCGAGTCCACACGGGTCCGCAACATTATCATAGAAACGCTTTTTGATTTTTAGGACTTTAGGACTAAAAATTCAAGTATATTTGCATGTTTTTTTAATTTTCTCTAAAACCGTCTAGAAATTTGAAAATGTATAAACGATATTAACTATTTTAGAATAAGCAAATATTATTATGACGAATGCATTTTTCCCAAAATGTTAATAAGAAAAAAATGTTTCCTCTTGTAAAGACAATCCGTAGACATACTGTATATTATGTATCTTACCAAAGTCTCCGATTTTGACAGTCCTATCATTAGCCACCATACAATTCCTCGCTGCCAAATCCCGATGCACGTACTTTCTCGACGTTAAATACGCCAACCCGTCCGCAATCTCTATCGCCATCCGGTATATCTCGTTAGACGTGAAATTCTGAGACGAATCTCTGAGCCTTCTGAGATACTCCTTCAGATCTCCCCTCTCCATCAGCTCCATCACCACCAAAGGCGGCTGATCCCTCGAAACCACCCCGAATAACTTTATCACGTGATGCGCGTGACTGAACTCCTTCATAATCGAAGCCTCGGTCAGGAAACTGATCCTCTCCTGCACCGTGGCTTTATCCGTGACCGTTTTAACAGCGCAGGGCATGTTTTTGGACTTGATCAGGCCATAGTAAACCACTCCGAACGTTCCTTTACCTAGTTCTTTTCGTAGTTCGATATCATCACGGTTCGTCTCCCATTCGTCTTCGATGTAGATCAGACCTGCGTAATCCGGGTTGATGCTGGCTATTAGCTGGACCCTTTCGCGAGATCTGATGTATTTGATTCTTAGGAATAACAACAATCCGCAAATTCCGATCAGCACAAAGAAACTGACTAGAAAAATTAACCAGAATTTGCTGGGAGAGTCTGGGGGTTTGATCACGAAATCAAACGCTTTCGTGAGATTTCCCGGTCCGGCCAAAGACACTGGTTGAAGCCTCAGAGAATAGCTTCCCGGAGGCATCCCCTTCAAAGTATAACCTCTCTCCTTTTTGTACTCTTCGCGAGTAATGCACGCCCTGGACGGTTTGGAATGTTCCGGTTCCTTCTTGTAGTAAACGATGTGGTAGGAGACGATTAAAGCGTTTGGTTCCTTCGGTTCGGCCCAGTTGATCGACACGTCGTACTCCTGCACCTGAGACTTGACGCTGTTTTGGGGGATGACGTCAGCCGAGGGGTTCTTTTTGGTTCTTACGAAGGTCTGTTCCACCGGGCCGCACAGGTTTCGTTCGTTTACCGGATGGTTGCAGGCCATTATGTAGAAGACGTAGATCGAGAATTGATGTAGGTTTTTGACGATGGTTGTGGTTCGGGTGGCGTCTACTATTTCCGTAAAAACTCGCGGTTTTTCGTGGTCTAGGCTGGTTTTCTTGTGGGTGGGCGTTTGTATGTGAAGTCCCGAACGTTTTTGTACGGGAATACCTATGTTAAAAAAGGAAGCATTATATACAGGGTGAGTCTTAAATAAGTGTAAATATTTTCAGGGCTGGTAGATCTCGACAAAAGAAAGATATTTTCTGTTTGTCGTTTTTCAAATAAGTCCAAAATAGCCGAGTTATTTCATTTTGAAAATTAAAAAAAAAAGATTTTTGTTTAAATTTTGAGAACCACTGAATCTTTTCTGGTGTTTATTTCTTGTAAATTTAATCTACTGCCTATGTTGCGATATTATCAAGAAATTATGTTTTTTAAAACTATAAACAAAAAATCTTTTTTCAAAAAATTCCAAATTTTCGCCGCTACCCCTAAAATATTTGCACTTATTTAAGATTCGGCCTGTATATATATTATATAAAGATTGTGACCAGAAATACGTTTGGATAGATTAATAGTGGAGTAAATTAGTGGTTTCAATTACACTTTATACTTTTTAGTTTACGATCATTCACAATGTTTAAAAAATACAATTAAAATAAATAGAATATCCTGTCAACAGCTTGCGTTAGTCAGTTGTATCCATAGAGAAAGCTTAATATTTAGCTTATAAAACAATGAACTTTTGATTATGAACCACAATTTTTTTTGACAGAAGATAATCAAAGGCCAAAATGACATTCCTCACAAATTTTGAAGTATAATTAGTGGAAAAGTTAAAAGTTTGATAACTTTTTCTACTAATTCAAAATGAAAATGAAAACTACCACTAAATTTGACGTTTTGAATGCTTACATTGAAATTAAAGGAACAAACTTCTACGCTAATTGAAACCACTAATTTATTCCACTAAGTGCGAGGTTCTGAATGAAGCTTAATTCAATGAGCGTATTACTCATTTAAGACTGAGATTAATCACATAGCAAATACCGTATGATCGAATAAAAACGGCGTCAGCGGTGGCTATGAAATGAAGATCGGTGTCATTTTATATGTAAAATTAAATGGGAAATGTCATCGATCGTCATTTCCAAGCCAACTGAACGCCGTTTTTTTTTCGATCATACGGTACATATTGTGTTGCTCAGAATATTTTTGATAAAGATCATTGCATAATTGTTAGTAACTTAACATTAACTAAACTTGTTTCAAATTACAGGCAATAAGAGAATAAAAATGCAAAGACAATATGAACAGAGCTAATGGGCTCATTACCCCAAGTTCTCTGTTCCTATTGTTTTAGTTACCCAATTTACTATTACGCTCAATTAGTTTTCTCCCGACTCGTTTGTTTTGTTAAACTTGGTAACAATGCTAACCGGGTGCCTACATAAATGTTCAATTGAAGTGAATATAATAGGGTTGATTGAAGAAATAAGAAGATGCGCAACCTTATGGGCGATTTCGTGGCACAAAACATGTCCGAAATATAGCTGGCGTTAACGTCCGTGATTTAGTTTAGCTCTGCGCCGCTGCGCGCTGATAGTCATTTCCAGCGCAGCGAATAAAGAATATTGTACCGTAGTTCTGCTACAGAGCGGGTGATTGCGGGAGACAGTGTTGCCAGAACTACGAATTAATCCGTAGATTTACGGATTTTGGGTACAGTACGTTGATAATACGGATTTTCCATCATTAAACAATTTAATATAATATGATTAAACAAAGAACGGCGTCAGAGTGGGCTTGTAAATGAAGATGGCTGTTATTTCATATTATGTAAAATATTATGGTAAATGTCAATACACGCCATTTCCAAGCCAACTAAACAACTTTTTTCGATCAAATGAAATATTTAGTATCTATAAAAGAATTTTTATTTTTGTTTTTTATTCTATATTTAACACGAATTAATTTTCAATACAGAAACGCGGATTTTTCATTCAAAGATATTTTCGTAAAAAAAGATATTATATATAAAAAAAAAGTGTATCATAGATATTACACATTTCAATATGGCAACACTGTCGCTTTCAGTTCCACACCGTCTTCGATATGTCTTAGCTTCACTAGCCGAAATAGAGAAAATGAGTGTTTTATGCGTTGGCCGCAGAACGAGCAGAGGCTCCACCGTACAGTACTTGAGACGTAAGAGGAAATCAAATCAGTCTTGAGACGAACTTTCCTATTAGGTTGTCTATCTTCCCAATTTTTTCAATCAATGACAATAGTTTAGTGTTAATAATCTGTTGATGATCTAAACGAGGTTAGCGAAACATGCGTTGGGAGTTCAAAGTAAAGCGTTTTCGTGAATTGTGGTAAACTATACAGTGTTATTTTTCGATACCTATGTAGTTGATACCTATGTGGTTGATGCGATCATAATAATAATTTTTGCAGTCGTCGAAGCCGTACTTGGATTGGGAGTTTTTGTCGCACAGTTTCAGCCAGATGTCGTTCTGTAGCCGAATGTTGACTTCTTCCTCGGGTTGACAAGTCGCGTCCATGACAGTTTCGGTGTTGTTAGAGTGAATTTTGGGGTCGTGGATTGGTTTCTCCGTAACTACTTCGTCGTCAGACTGATCTACTTCTGCCCCCTTGTTGCTGAAATAATTTTTTTATTTATTTATTGTTGTTCCGATAGGCTGTGGCGGAATGTGCGTATTGTAATCGCAAAACGTTTTCAAGTTTAGATTGGAGAGTGCCCACAAGCATAATGTAAACACTATATGGCGCTATTCTTGCAACGGTCGCGACCCAAAGCTTTTGATAATTTCGGATCGGTTCGGCTTTTTCCGGAATTATGTCGCTAAATATTGTTTATTCAAATTTGTTATTATATTCTTTTAATTTTTTAAATAAAATACAGTGTGTTGCATACAAGAAACTTTATTTTATATAAGGACATGTATGTGAAATACCTATATGAAACATTGATGGAAACCGACGTTATGCCACGACCCACTATGGTATTTGCAGTTCACAGTTCACAACACAGTTTTTTAGTTTTTAATGCCACTTTTTCAAAATTATCACGGGTTTGAGTTGGTAAGTAAAATTTAAATTAACTTAATAAACTAAATAAAACAAGATAGCAGCAATAATTACTTTGAGAATGGACGCTTTAAACACTTTTCGGTATTTTTTCAATGAGGGCGGTTGAAATTTTGAAAGATTTTATAATTTTTGAAGATTCTGACTTTACAAGAGAAAATTATTTCTGTTATTGCTTGGCGGTTGTTCTTAGCAATCGCTATAGCAGCGCCAGATCGCGTACAACGGTCGCGACCCAAAACAATTATTATATATTTTGACGGACTTTCCAATCTAAATTTATTTCCTTTATCTATGGTAGTAATCATGAACGTACCTATGGGAATACTTGCAATAATCTCGTAGCTGAGCTATATTTGGATCGTCATCTTCTCTATAGACGGTGATAGTGTAACTACTTAAATGGCCGTATGTTTTCACTGGCTCCTTCCAAATTAGTCTTATGGAGTGATGGTCTATCGCTTGAGCTAGGAAGTATTTCATAAGCACCAGATAATATTAAGCATGACTATAAACTAGATTTTCTGACAAAAAATATTACCAAAAAATGGCATAAGATAATCTATAATAGGAAATCGCGCGCAAATTTTGAACTGTCCAGATACTGGCTCCCCTGTTAATTTTACAGCGGAGTTGTAAATAGGTTTTAAAAAGTCTGAGTATGCTGAATACACATGATAAATTTGAACAATTTTGGAAAAGACCATTTTAAGTAATTTAAAAAAAATGCAATTATTTTGAAATTAAAACTAAACAGGTAACAATGTAAAACCAGGCAAATGCCAACGTACTTTAAGTTGTAATTATTACCATACATTGTATGTAATTGTATATAAGCACTATATAAGTACACTATGGTTACGCTCGTTACATTTGACACTTTATGTCAGTTTAATAATACATTTTCGTATGATTTTCGTACTTTTATGCTTAGGCGTAAAAGTGCTTCACTTTTATGCCCAGGCGTTAAAATGACTTTTTTATGTTGACAAGCACGTCGCAAAAATTAATACTTTTGTGACTTTTTTGTGATTTTTTTATTTACTGACGTAGTGTTCAATAGTTCAGAGATTCCTATTATGTAATAAATGTACTGTGAATGGTTGTAAAAAAAACAATGTTTGTCTTTACGTAATGCATAAAGAAGAGTTCAGTTAATATACGATAGTCGGCAAGTAAGCAGTGTTTTATTTAAACTCCAGTGTTTTCGTGTTATACAGTACTTGTGTCTAGCCCTAGCAGGCAACTATTAAGCCCGACCAATCACATTAGAGTTTTTGACAAACACAAATGAATTAACACCGTGTTTTTTAGTGAGTACTAAATTATTTTATCAAAATTTCACCATATAAGTTTCCAGGCAATGATTAACACCTTCCAAATAACCACGCTAAGCAACCTGATTGGTTAAGCTTAATAGTTGACTGCTAGGGCTAGACACTTCTTTAGGCTATACAAGAATAAAAACTTTGTGTAAGGACAAGATTATATTGGCGATTTGGCTAAAATACAATCGAGTAAGTACTTTAAGCAGAGGCAAATTTAAGTTTTAATTGCAAAATTACACTAAATGTTTACTATGTTTTGACCGATTCCTGACACAAAAATTGTTTATTTTCCTAAATAAATTAACAAATACCTACTAAGTACCTACATGTGCATATTATAAGCTTTATTTAATGTAATGAAAGGGAAGTAATATAGGGTCTAGTAATATACAGGCGAGAAATGCATTTTTAAAAATGAAGAACGTCTTCCAGAACCCCAGATTGGACCTAGAGTTGAGAACTAGGCTCGTTAAGTGTTATGTTTGGTCAATCCTATTATACGGAGCAGAAACATGGACACTGAAAGTTCAAGAGATGAATCGCCTCGAATCGTTCGAAACATGGATATATCGAAGAATGCTTAAAATTCCATGGACAGCCCATATCACAAATACCGAAGTCTAGAACAGAATAGGCAGAGAAAGAGAATTGCTCAATATAATAAAAATAAGAATAACATCATACTTAGGGCATATATTGAGAAACGAAAAATACCACGTCTTACAATTGATAGTTAAGGGTAAGATTGAAGGAAAGAGAGGTCTCGGCAGGAAGAAACTATCTTGGTTGAGAAACATCAGAAACTGGACTCACCTAACTTTTGAAGAACTTATAAGGAAAGCCGAGAATCGTGAAGATTTTGCCAATGTGACCGCCAACCTCCATGAAAGAGACGGCACGTAAAGAAGAAGAATACAGGGTCCGGCAATAGTGCGTCGGGCATCTGTAGCTCCTAGAATAAAAAAACTTGGGAATTTTGGTTAAGTGCAAACCTAAAGTATGTACAAGGATGCATTTCAGGAAAATATTTTAACTTCTACAGAGTGGCTTAAAAAATGTGAGTGGATCGAGATGATTTTTTAAATGGAACACCCTGTATATTAGTGCATTTTTGGCTTCCTTTCAGATCGGTTTACATAATCCCAAGATATGAGTAAATATATTTCGATAGTTTCAGATATATTAATAAATAAATAAAAAATACAAGAACAAATGTCCATTTTTTAATTTTCCATCTAACAAAAAAATAATATACAGGATGTTCATAATTTAAAAAAAACTAGATTTTAGAAGAAATTATTTTATAGAAAGAGATTATTTTATATTTTAGAAAGTTTGGCGTAGAATTTTGAACACCCAGCATGATCTAATAAGATTATGATATTTATAGCAAAGAAAGTAAATACCTAATATAGTTTTGATTTAAGGACAGTTCTTGTATTTGTAATAATTTTTTTAAGAAAGGTTGAAAAACACATATTTTTTTATTTATTTATTAATATCTCTGATACTATCGAATTATATTTACTCGTATCTTAAGATTATGTAAAGTGATCTGAAAGAAAGCCGAAAATGCAATAATATATAGGGTGTTCCATTTAAAAAAATCATCCCAATATGGACTCACAATTTTTTGAGCTACCCTATAGAAGTTAAAATATTTTTCTGAAATACATCCTAGTACATACTTTAGATTTACACTTAAACAAAATTCCCAAGTTTTTTTATTCTAGTAGCTACAGATACTCGACGCACTATTGCCGGACCCTGTATATCCACGAAATATTGGGACACCCTGTATAATTAAGAATAATATCACGGGATAAGTATAAAAATCTGAGACTTACCAATAAAGTCCTTGACTGCTTCAGGATCATCGGCCAAAGTTTGAAACGTTTCCACTTTAGTCTCACTCTTCTTGTCTTGAACGTAGATTTGGATGTAGTAATAGTAAGTAGTAAATGCAGTCAAGTTTATTAACTGGGCAGAACTATTAAACGTAATAAACGTAATCCAGTTGCTTGCTGTGCAAACGTCATTATCCGCCGTCATATTGTATTGATCTGAAAGAGGAATAACATATACAGGGCGGTCCGAATTGTATTCGGGAAACTTCGGCAGCATATTCTCCAGATAAACATAGGTAAATGTATGTACTAAAATATTATTATGTACTTCTTTTCGGAGATTCAGGGTGTAGAATTTTCAATTTTATTTCGATTTTTTCCAAATAATTTCTAACAGTTTCTTTGGTCAAAATAAAATACAAAAAAAATTTCATTCAAAAAGTATTTAGAAAGTATTAGAAATACCTTTTCTAAAATATATCTTGTATTTGATATCTCAAATACTTTGCTTAGTAGTATCTTGTAACTTGTATTTCAGTCACATTTTATGAGGTCTATTGTATACATCTCTGATTTTGTAGTATATAGTATAGTTCAAACTGAACTGTAACATATAATTCGGGCAATAGAGCGGGTTCGGCAATAGAGCGTCTGGCATCTGTGGCTCCTAGAATAAAAAACTTGGGAATTTTGTTTAAGTGTAAACTTAAAGTATGAACTAGGATGTCTTTCAGGAAAATATTTGATCGTGATGATTTTTTTTAAATGGAACACCCTGTATATTATTGCATTTTTGGCTTTCTTACAGATCACTTTACATAATCCTAAGATATGAGTAAATATATTTTCAGAGTTATTAATAAATAAATAAAAAATATATATTTTCAACCTTTCATAAAAATATTATTAAAAAAAAGAACTGAAACATGAAATCAAAATTATATTAGGTATTTACTTTAGATGGTATGTAACTTACTCTTCTATAATTATGGTAATCAGAATTTATCAAATTCCACGCCAAACTTTTTAAAATATAAAACAATTTTTCTTCGTTTTTATAAATGAAACATTCTGTATATTAATTTTTCAATAGATGGGAAAATTAAAAATGAACAATTTTTTAACAGTATTAATAGTATTTCAAAATGTTTAACTTTTTCGCAGATATTGGTGGTTTTATATTTCATATGGCATTTTCCACAGTAAATTTTTATCAAAGCCATCCAATGATTTTTCGCTCGTATTTTACTGTTGATCCTTACTTTACTGCGTGTATCTGCAAAACCATTAAAAATGTTCATTTTTTTAACTCTCCATCTAATAAAAAAAATATACAGGGTGTTCCAGTTTTTTTAAGAAAAATTAGTTTATATTTTAGAAAGTTTGGCGTAGAATTTTGAACACCCTGTATGATTTAAGATTGCAATATTTATAGCAAAGTAAGTATAGACCATCTAAAGTATAGGGTGGACCATTTTGGTTGTTTCTATAGGGTATTTAGGAAATCGTGAGAAATATTCAAATTTTGATATTGCAGTCTCGGGTTCTTTTTTTGAAAAAATCACAATGCCGCAAACGGATCGTGGCTATCTTGATCGGTTTCGAAGCTACAGGGGGATTCTCAAATTTTGTACTTTTTGAAGATGTTCGATAGTTTGTTTATTTCAGCAACCACGGAAAAATGACTTATACATTCTAAAGGCACTTTTCTGTGTAGAATGCAGTGGCGTAGTCAGACTTTTTTTTCGAAAAAAATATTTTTTGAGATATTAACTATAATTATGTTTTTTAAATAGAACCCCTCTATATTTTTAAATTTTCTTATTCAGCTTGGCATGGGCTTCTCGAAAATATATAACACTCTATATTTATTTTCACTATTAACCTCAACATTTCAAATTTTTCTTAAAATATCCACCTAGTAGATAGTAGGCCGTGTCGAGTAACAAAGTAAACGGTTGTCATGGTGATCGGAACATACTTTTGATGGATGCGGGACATTTCATTTCAACAGATTGAAGTGTGTGTATTTTAAATAATAAAAAAATGAGTAATTTTGAAAATTTTGAGAAATATAATATGTTAGAATGTTATATTGAGTCTAGCAAACATATGCAAATGGCAGCTGATTTATATTTTGAGCGATATCCAGAGCGCGAGCAACCAAACCCAGCCATTTTTAAAAGGTTAGAAAATAGTTTAATCAATTTTGGATCTTTTCAAAAACCGCGTCCGAAAAATTATCAGAAAAAAGATGAAGAAAATCAATATATTAATGTCCTCGTTGCCGAATACATGAATTAGCAATTAAATAAAATCGAACAATACGAAGCAAATAAAAAATAAGTGTGACAGAAACAAAAGAACATATTTTAATATAACCTCAAGAGGTTACTTCAATCGGGCTTCTCAGTTAATATAAAAAAAAATAAAAACACAAAGACTACATTAAATGTTCAGACTGCTGCCCATTATTATCTAGACAGAGTTGGTACAGTCTCCGCACGCCGCCGCTAACAGCATTTCAATAGCTCTACTTGATGTTGTTGGATCTAGTGTTACGGCATCGAGGACATTAATATATTGATTTTCTCTCATCTTCTTTCTGATACTTCTGACGCGGTTTTTGAAAAGTGATCCAAAAATTGATTAAACTATCTTCTATCCTTTTAAAAATGGCTGGGTTTGGTTGCCCGCGCTCTGGATACCGCTCAAAATATAAATCAGCTGCCATTTGCTTATATTTGTTAGACTCAATATAACATTCTAACATATTATACCTATTTCTGAAAATTTTCAAATCTACTCATTTTTTATTATTTAAAATACACACACATCAATCTGTTGAAATAAAATGTCCCGCATCCATCAAAGGTATGTCCCGATCACCATGACACCCGTTTACTTTGTTACTCGGCGCGGCCTACTATCTACTAAGTCGATATTTTAAGAAAAATTTGAAATGTTGAGGTTAATAGTGAAAAATAAATATAGAGTGTTATATATTTTCGAGAAACCCATGCCAAGCTGAATAAGAAAATTTTAAAAATATACAGGGGGTTCTATTTAAAAAACATAATAATAGTTAATACCTCAAAAAATATTTTTCGAAAAAGTCTGACTACGCCACTGCATTCTACACAGAAAAGTGCCTTTAGAATGTATAATTCATTTTTCCGTGGTTGCTGAAATAAACAAACTATCGAACATATTCAAAAAGTACAACATTTGAGAATCCCCCCAGCTTTCGAAACCGATCAAGATAGCCACGATCCGTTTGCGGCATTGTGATTTTTTCAAAAAAAGAACCCGAGACTGCAGTATCAAAATTTGAATATTTCTCACGGTTTCCTAGATACCATATAGAAACAACCAAAATGATCCACCCTGTACATACCTTGTACAGATCTTGTATTTGTAATAATTTTTTAAGGAAGGTTGAGAATTTTTTTTTTATTCATTAATTAATATCTCTGAAATTACCGAAATATATTTACTCATATCTTAGTATTATGTAAAGTGATCTGAAACGAAGCCAAAAATGCAATAATATACAGGGTCTCCATTTAAAAAAATTCACAGATTTTGCAACATGCGCAACCATCATAGGCGTATTGAAAATACCAGACACAAGTCGGCGGTTGTCGGCAATCACCTGTTTTTTTACATTTTATATTAATTTGTGACGTCATTTGGAAGAGCTCAATAGAAAACCTTGTTTGAAAAGCAATTTGACATTCGTGACGTCAACACTCCGGCAGTGTATGGTCTATGGTCCAGACCTGACGAGCTGAGCGCGAGACGAGAGCAAGACAAGAGCGAGACAAGAGTGAGACGAGCGAGACATTTTCTATCCATTTTTTACGTAAACCAAGCCACGAGACAAGCCGAGGTAATCATAGTGGAAGCCAAACATCACTATTAAATTGCAATTGAATATAACAAACGATGGCCAAATAATAACGCATACAGTAATATATTTTTGTATCTTTAATATGGTATTCGGTCTTTAACATGATATTCATCGTCGGTTTTCCCCCTTTTGTCTAAGTTTCTTTTATTTTCTTTCCAAGTTTATCATTATTTTTTAACAACAGTAGTTTTTCAGACGTGTATTTTTAATAGAATTTATGACAATTTTTAGAATAACTTAGCATTATAAATAGTACATTGCGGAAATTTTAATAAAGATATTTTTGATAAAAATATTTTTTATTGTGAATTTTGAGAAACTCCTTATAGCTTTGCAAGACTTTGTTAAAAATTATATATTCAAATAAAACTATATTAGTTATTTCATCTTTTGGAAACCCAAGACTGCCTTTAGTAAGGTTTTTTATAAGTGAATTTTGTTCAATATCAGTGTTGTCTGAAAATGTTAAATTATTTTTAGGGACATTAATGACTGAATCTTAAGTTTCTTTTCGCCTTCATATAAATGTCGAACACAAATAGTGTACTGACTCCCGGCTAACTGTCTATATTTTCCAAACCTACTTTCAAGAGGATCAGTTTGCAAGTACTCTAGTAAAACATATCTCATATTTTACTCATTAAAACAATATTTTATTACTTCAAGCTTGAACACAGATAAAAGTCAGAATTTTTTATTATTTTCATCACATTTTAAAGAATTTAGTAAATAACAAGCATGACTAATAATTTGATCAGTATTACTATCAGGGTTCGGAAAACTACATGTTACTCTTAAAAACCACATAAACTACATTACATGTAGTTAATCGATGTAGAGGGTGTAGTTTATGTAACTTTCAAATATGAAAGGTGTGAGGTGAGGTAAAAGATAAGTAAAAGCTTTAGAAAATACATATAAATATATTTGAGAAAACGGAAGAAATATAGCTTTAAATATAATATTCACATCTTATTATTTAGACATTATACCTTTTAAATTGTATAATTGCACACACTTATAATCACTTTATAGTTTAAACACCTCTTTTTACAGATTTATACCTTTTTTCACCCTTCTATTATCGATTATAATTACCACGTCTGCACACCTACCGATAAATCTATGACTGTCAACTGCGGCAATACCACTCCGCTACGCGCTACGACAGGCGCCGCCACGCGACGCCGCACAGTGGGGCCGATTGCCATTTTTGCGGCCAGAACCTTATAAAACAGAAGTTGCTTTTTCAAAAAGTTTTGATGACCATAGAATACAGAAAAGACCTAAATATTATATTATGCACAGAAAACAAATTTGGATGCAGATCTGTAACCAGTGAAGGGCAGTAATTCGAAGGTTTAGTTCTACCGTTTATAATAATTGCAATTTGTAGGGCCCGAATAATAAGTAAAATTTCTTGGTTAATTTTTAAATACAATTAATTTTTTGCAGTTTTTATAAAAGTACAATACTACTTGACTATTTCTAGCTATATTTTGAAAAAAAAAATTTCACTGATGCATACTAAATTAATGAATAAATTAGTATAATATAAAAAATAAAATATGCTATTTAACCCTGAGTTTTGTTGAGTGCCCAAAGTTGCCCAATTTATTGGCTGATGTTTTTTGAAAGATTGGACATTACCCTTCATGTATTTGTTACCATCTTGCGCAACTTTGCGCAACTTTAAAAAAAAATATTTTTAAATGTAAGTATGTCCCTGGTACTTTGAGTAATAGATAGTATAGGTCTTTATGATTTTATTAGATTAAGTTCGTGTGATTTTAATAAAATCTGATACTCATGAATCGCCTGTAATCAAGCACATAGCTAGGGGGTCCAAGGGTGCTAGACCCTTCAGTCCCACCCCACCTCAAATCTACAAATTTTGTGGGTTTTAACTGAATTAATGCTTAGATCGAGGCTTAGATAATATACAATGTCCCCACTCCTTTTTTATCTTTTTAATGGAAAAACATGGAGATTTGAAGTAAGGCAATATGTTTAAAAATATTACGTTTTAGTCTAAATATGACAGTTTAAAATTTCAAGATGGCGGCTTAACTTTTTAAAATATCCGCACGTAAATTCAAAAACTGATATGTACTAAAATAATATTTATTTTTTATCAAAGTTGTTGATTACATACGGATAAAAAATATATCAAACAGACCGATAAACAGACCGACAGACACACAGACATGCCACAAGACAACAATATTCGAAATGGCTTGCAACGCAAAAGTGTAAAAGTTTTGTCATCCGGGTATTTTTTCTCACATTATATTGATGAGCTAATATGTTAGGTATATAGGTGAACTATAATTTAATTAACTAAAATTTTGAAGATTGTCTACCTAGAAATTCAATTAAGCAAAAACTGTTAAATTCTATATATTTTTGGTTGATTCATATATCTTTGAAGGTTTTGGCCAACGATTCTTCAATCGGCCCCACCGTGCGCCGCTCCGTCGCCCCGGAGCAGGGGGCGTGAAATATCGATAAAATACATAATATATACTATAAAAATATCTATTTTTTTATTGTTTTTTTTTCTCATATAATACACTATTGTGAACTTAAAATATTCCTTTATTAAATTTGATTGATAAAAAGTGAGAGGTAAACATTTATTGACTGGTATGATTTTTTCCGTATTCTATTAAAACTATTTTTATATACTATAATATTTTTAAAAACTCGGAAAGGACATTTTAAAACTTCGAAATATATCTGGCGAGTGAAAAAAGATCCACAATTTGAACTTTTATCGGGTAATTATCAACGCTGCTACATAGAGTTGGGCCTCCAGTTGGTGACGTCACGAGATTTTTACGTCACAGCTGTCCGGCCTTGTTATTACGGTGGTTACGGCCCGACGCACTTTTGCTGGACCCTGTATTTGTTATTTATACTGTAACACATTATTTGTTGTTTTTATTTATTGAATAATATTCCTAAAAGGTATTAGAGCATTTTGAAAAATATTTTCTTACCAGTATAATAAACGGTGTAGTACAGAATGCTCTCATCTCGTTTCTCCCAGACCAAAGTGACGTTGGTGGAGTTGATCTGAGTGACGTTAACTTTGACAGACTCATCCTTCGGTATTGAACACAGGACACCGTTCGAATTCTGCGATACGTCCCTGTTGCTATAACTGATATTGGCCCTTTTGGCCAACGCCCCGATTTCACTCAAGCACAGCTTATCGTTGTCGCTGAATCCGATCGTACCTAAAACAAGGAGTTAACTTTCTAATGCTGGATACCTGATATATCTATACAGGGCGCATTATTACAAAGACTGCCGAAATTACTACTTTGATTGATATAATAGAAAAAATGACAATTAACTAGATGAAGTATAGAAATTGTATTAATGCTTGATTATTTTAATTATGTAGAACACCTACCGGATGTTTTTTAAGAGTGGCTCCCCATTTACCTGTTTTTTTCAGTCAAAAAACGCGTTTTGGTACGTTTTTGGAACGAAAATAAGTTCATTGAACATATTGAACTCTATACAAAATTGCTTCTAGAAGGCATGAAACTTTATATCCATTTTTCAGGTATTTTAAGAACCGTTATTCCGATTTGAATGATATTTCGGGTGTTTGTGTTTTGCTAAGAGCTTTGACATTTGACTTTCTCAAAAATCTAGAAAAAGCACGGGAAGGGTGAAAACTACCCCTACCCTTTCATAAATTTTAGTATAAATGTTTTCCAATTCCACCGACAACAGATTTTCTTTTCGTAAAATGGTCCCTCTAGTATTTACTATATTTTTAGTCTCTTGTAAAAAAAACGCCACATCGCATAGTTTTTGAAGAAAATTTTTTTAGAGAATTTATTTTTCCACAGAAGGAGTTTGAAGGAAATCTTTTTAGAGAATTTATTTTTAAGTTTCATAAGAAATTTATTATTTTTTTAAGCTTCTTATGAAACTTATTGCCAAATATAATTCGTGATACTAACTTAAAATTCCATATTTTCGCCAACTAGATTATTACAGCATGATGCGACAAAAAATAATTTTAAAAATTAATTTTTGAAAAAATATGTTTATTCCTCAAAAAGTATGCACGCTGGCGTTTTTTTTACAAGAGACAAAAATATAGTAAATACTAGTGATGTGTCGGTATTTGAGTAACGCGATTTTGGAACGGTATTTTTTTGTAACGTCGTGTCGCGCTCCACAACGAATCAGGAATCTGTTACTGAAGAACGACGATCATATTGACGACAAAATTATAAATTATTTATAATATGCAAGTAAATTATTTATAATCGCACTTGAAGTTAGCTCGAACCGTAGTAACCGCATAGCGACGTGTTTAGCTCCAGCCGTCGCGATTTCGTCGGTCGCCAATAGTAGTATCTGGAACTGGTATGTCCGTAGCGCCGCGCGATCTCGATCGGGACGTGTTCGCTCCAGCCGTCGCGCTCCTAGAGTTGTTGTTCCCTGTCGCGAACAGAAGTAACTGCTGTAACTGAGCATCGACGCTCGACCTCGGCGGCGACCTACTTCGCTCCAGCCGTCGCGCTCCTAGAGTTTTAGTTCCCTATCGCGAACAGAAGTAACTGCTGTAACTGATTATCGACGCTCGACCTCGGCGGCCACTTCGTTTCAGCAGTCGCTGGAGCTCTTCTAGGGTTTCGGTCGCGATTTGGTCGGTTACTATTGGCGTTGCACTATAGTTTCTAGAAGCTACTTTTTTGGCCAAAATTAAACAACTTACATTTAATAGAAAATATTGGCTGTAAATTTGTGTTTTTAATAAAATAATAAAATACTAATAAAATGAAGTCATTTTTAATCTTCTCACACAACACAATGTGATTAACTTTTACCTACGAAGCATCTTCTGTATCTAGTTCCAAAAAAGAAAGTTGATCAATCATCGAATTACTGCTGTTCAAAAACAATCTTCTTTAGAAATATCTTCTTGCTCTTCTTCTTTTTGCATTTCTTCTTCTTCTTGCTCTTCCTCCTCGTTTCCTCTTCTTTTTCATGCTTCTCTTCAAATTGTTCTTCATTTAACTTCTTTTCGATAAAGTCAGGTACACGAAGTAGGTTAAGTACATCGGCAGGATAACTAAATTTACAAAGCAGCCTGCACAAAAAAATAGCTTCTAGAAACCATAGTGCGTTGGTGCTCCCGTCGCTACGTTACTTTCGAAATAGCGATCTTTGGTATAGTAAACGCGACGAATGTTTGGGAGTGATTTATCGGTCGCTACCATGTGAACTAATCTGTTCAAGGTCACATAAAACTTAATTCGAATGCCGTGGTGTTTCAAGTCATATAATAATCACTATATAATCTGTTGTAATTTGTTGTTTTAACTGTCAAAATCTTGTCAAAACATATATTTGGTTATAAATATAAACTGGAATGCCCCATTGCTCGCACTGCAAGCACACCAATGGACTGACGCACAAAAACGAATCAATCAAAGAAACGCGATATAGTATCGTCTTTGTCAATCACGCTAACATTTTAGAATAAGTAGGAGGAGCGCAGGTAGATGATTAGACTGGGCCTTTAAAAACCTACGTCTGCGGTAAAAATTTACGTTTTTAATGAAAAAATGATAGCGGTCGTGTCGATTCTAACTTCATCAAGCGATGAATCACTCCCAAACATTCGTGGCGTTTACTATATTTATGTACTAGGCATGGTATAAAATAGTGTTGTTTGAAAGATGAAACGCAAAAGCTAATGAAATAAAATAAAAATATTTTATTTGCTTTTATACATTTATATAAATAAGTTTTATTGTTTATATTTACTTTTAAGGTTAGGTTAGACCAATAAACAATTTTTTTGACAGTGGTTTGGACTTTGTTTTTGATTTTAGCATTAAATATATTATATTGCAATACACATAAATATGAGCCGTTCATTTTATTCAAACGAAAATTGATAATGAAAAAAAATAACAAGGAATGTCATCGTTTTGCTAAAAATGAGATAAATTGACTATACACAATTATAAACTCGATATTTGGAAAATGAGTAGCGGATAAAAGTTACATTAATCTACAAATATAGATAAGTTAGATATATTTTTAGCGAGGACCGCAACACTTTGGAAGTCGGAACCTCGGTTACAAAATCGCGGTATTTTTCTGGAACGGTCGCTATTGTAAAGCGACTCATGTGGAACCGGTATTCCCATCACTAGTAAATACTAGAAGGGCCGAAAAAAAATCGGTTGAGCTGGAAAATATTTATAGTAAAATTTATGTATTAGGGGTAGTTTTTACCCTTCCCGTACTTTTTCTTGATATATGTGACAGTCAAATGTTTAGCAAACATAGAACAACATTGTAGCAATCGGAATAATGTTTCTTAAAATATCTTTAAAAATTTCTTTATTTTTTTTAAAGTTTGATGCTCTCTGACGGACAAACAAAGTACTTTTGTGTAGAGATAAATTGTGACAAATGAACTTAACCGTCCACGGAATATTGGAACACCCTGTATACGGTAACGGATGGTTCCCGTAATTTCCATTCTAGAACTCCATCGAATTTGTTTTGTTTCTAGAAACTTCCGTAAGCTTGTCCGTGATTTTCCACCAGTGTCTAAGAGATGGCGCACTATTCTATTCGCTGAAAGATGTCGCCACAATTCTTGACAATATAAACACGCTTAGCGATTGTTCGCTTCTCCGACAGATGTCGCCACACGCCTTGATAGTATGTTTTGACTTTATTTGGTAGGAAAATGGCATTCTGAATAATAATAACTTAATTATTTTTAATAGACATACTACTCTAATTATGATATTTTTAATGATTAAAATTACTATATTAAAATTTAATGTCAGTACTTATAACTAACTGTTTTAAACATTTAAGTATATGCTAAGAAAATAATTAGTGTCACTAATGTTTTCGATGTGACCGTTGTTTATATTTCATAAATTAAAAGTAAATTATATAATAATTGAATGTTATTCGTTATTAAAAAGATATATATTTGTTTTAATTAATTGACACATTTTAAATCATTTATATTTATTAGAAGTGTTATTAAAATATTGATTAATTAAGATGTATTTCTTAATTTTTTAACATACAGGGTGATCCAAACGTTGTGCCAGGAGCTAAAGGCATCAATACTGGTTTAAACGTGAAAAACCAAGAATTATTTTCAAGAAGGCTTAAACATTATTTAACGTTTTATTAGTAAACGAGGATAAAAATAGGGTATTACCTCCGAATTCTTAACACCCGCACCGATTGACGTGAAATTTTAACAGTGAATACATATACAGGGTCCGGCAAGAGTGCGTCGGGCATCTGTAACTCCTAGAATAAAAAACTTGAGAATTTTGTTTAAGTGCAAACCTAAAGTATGTATCAGGATGTATTTCAGGAAAATATTTTAACTTCTATAGGGTGGCTGAAAAAAGTGTGAGTGGGCCTGGATGATTTTTTTTAAATGGAACACCCTGTATATTATTGCATTTTTTGCTTCTTTTCAGATCACTTTACATAACCCGAAGATATGAATAAATATATTTCGATAGTTTCAGAGATATTAAAAAATTAATCAAAAATATATATTTTTCAGCCCTTAAAAAATTTTTTAAAAACACAAGAACTGTTCTGAAATCAAAACTATATTAGGTATTTACTTTAGATGGTCTGTACTTACTTTGCTATAAATATGAAAATCGTAAATCATACAGGATGTTCAAAATTCTACGCCAAACTTTCTAAAATACAAAATAATTTTTCTTCGTTTTTTTAAATGTAACACCGTGTATATTATTTTTTCAATAGACGGAGAATTAAAAAATGAACATTTGTTGTATTTAGAGTATTTCAAAATTTTTAACGGTTTCGCAGATATTTGCGGTTTTATATTTCATATGGCATTTTCCACAGTAAAATTTTATCAAAGCCACCCAATGATTTTTCTCTCGTATTTTACCAGTGAAAGCGCCATATGAAATAATACTGCGTGTATCTGCAAAACCGTTAAAAATTTTGAAATACTCTAAATACAAAAAATGTTAATTTTTTAATTCTGCATCTAATAAAAAAATAAAATACAGGATGTTCCATTTAAAAAAACAAAGAAAAAGTATTTTATATTTTAGAAAGTTTGGCGTAAAATATTGAACATCCTGTATAATTTACGATTACCATATTTATAGCAAAGTAAGAATAGGCCATCTAAAGTAAATGCCTAATATAGTTTTGATTTCAGAAGAGT